AAATGCATGCATACCCCGTAATCTAAAAAAAAACCGCTTAAATCTTCAAATACAGGTAGCAATTACTGCCACTCAGAACATCACACGAACAGGCACAAGGCAGACAAAACAGTGGGGAAGATCTGGACCACCCGGGCAGCAGAACCCCACTGGCTGGCTGCCTTGGTTCTGAGCTCGCACTGCCCGTCAGCACCGCCTTTCAGAAGAGTTCCCAGGGCACAGTTACGGAGCCCTGCCTTCTCGCTCTGTGCCTCCAGCAACGCTTCCGATTCCCCGTCTCACCCTTAACCACCTGCCATGTACCTGATGTTCCCCTCTTCCAGTCCCAAGTAGTTTACCAAAGGACACACGCCATTCCTAAGAGAGACCTAATGCTCTTCTTCACGCACCCATTTCTTTCAAAGTAGGACGCAGTAATGAGAGAGGCAGCCAAGATTACACCAGGAACCTAACCCTAGTCCATTAGCCAGGCAAAAGAAATGAGAACAGTGATTTCCCCCGCCCCCCGGCCTGAAATGCTGCTGAAGACCGTGTAACCCGACAGGTCTGCTGCTTGTCACAGCTGCTTTACCCACTCGGGTCTGGCAAGGGTGAATCAAAAAGGCCTTAGGCTCCTTGGTCAAGATGTGTTCACTACTTCTCCTGTATGACTCTGGCTGAACTACTTTTTCTCAGTGTGAGGACAAGAGAAACAGAAAATGAAGTTATGACCAGCACTGCCTTATCTCACGTGAAAACCTAGCATAAAGCATTTTTTAAAAATATGATTCAGTCACAAATGACACCACCATCTTTGTACTGGAGAGCAGCACCGTGCCAAAAGCTTTCCTATACATGTGTTCCTAGACATCTTTTTGCACTGTAAGAAAACACTATATTTTTAAAAAATAATATTTTCACCACCAAAATATTAACCTTCCCCCCCTCTTAGATTCATAGCTCCAACATTTTTAAATTTCATATCTCGCCGTTGGGGGAAGGGGTTTCTTGGCATTGATAATTAAAATTTTAGTTAGCGCAACAAAAAATATAAAGGTAGTAGTCATGCAAAAAGTTCCTAATTTATACTACAGAAATAGTGTCATTTGGGTGCACACATGGCCAGCTTGCCCACTTTCATTCCAGGCTTCTATGGGGTCTGCTGTTCCCATAGGAAATATGCTGGCCATCACCCCTTTGCTAGACCAGTCATGCCAGATCTGATTACACCTCAAGGCCTTCTGGCTCATTCTCTGTCCATTCTGATACTTCCCCTTCCTCCTCTTAGACCCCACTATTTCAGTTGTGATTGAAATGTCATTTGTTTACTAGCTAATTTACTTGGGGGAAGGGAGCTTTTTTTTTTTAACTCTATCCATAAAAACAGTAATGGAGTTGCCAAATTCTTTTAAATATTTCAAAATACCTTTTAAAATGCCATACTCTGGTTCCCACAGGCCACACAAGTTGCCACAACAGGTTCTTCTGAGGCTAGATATGATCACAATGTGTTAGCCGTGACTGGGAACTAGCTCTGTGTTCTGCAAATGGAAAAACAACACTTAAGTTGTACAACAGATGAGCTCTTGTAGCAAGAGTTCACAGAAAATAAAAGACTCCTCGAGGTTGGAAAAGAATATTCTTTCCTTTCATATTTAAGATCAAAGCAAATTTGTGAAAACAGGAAGAATCATCTCGATTCTGTTGGCCTAGGAAATACAATACTTATTTTGACTTCTGTCCTTTGACTTTTATATGAAGTTTCAGTTTTCCTATCAAACCTTGTTACCTTTTAAATATTTATACACTATCCACGATGCTTTTTTTATGTGATCTCTTGCACTTACAAAGGAGTCTTTTGTTCAAAGTATCAGGATGGCGGGCATATAGTCAACCCAACACATATTTACAGAGTGCAAGATAAAAAGCTTAAAGCCCAATGAGGATTATTCTCCCCTGTTACCATAGCAAGCAAATTTAAGTTAAAAAAGACAAAATGCCAGAAACTATTGCAACAGAATGATCAGAAAACAATCACAACTGAAATAGTGGGGTCTAAGAGGAGGAAGGGGAGATATCAGTATGAACTGAGAATGAGCCAGAAGGGCCTTGAGGTGTAATCAGAGTTGGCATGACTGGTCAAGGAAAGGGGGCAAACTGGCCATGTATGCACCCAAAGAGGCTACTGGGGCAGGTGGTGGGTGGGTTAAGTTGCCACCAGGGATGCCCCTGGCTCACATCAGAGTGCCAGTTCAGTCTGTACTGCTCTGCTTTCCACACAGCTTTCTGTTCTTGTGCCTGGGAAGCACCTGTGTGGGGTTTCCGGCTCCTGGTTTTGGTCTATGTCAACCCTGGTCGTTGTGCCCAGCTGGGGAACTGACAGAAGGAAGATCTCTTCCCTACCACCTCCACTGCTAAGGTCATACTAACCACACAGATTTATTACAAAACTGCATGAGGGCCCAGTGCCAGTAGCCTAGTGGCTAAATCCTTGCCTTGCATGTCCCAGGATCCCATATGGGCACAGATCTGTATTCTGGCTGCTCCATTTCCCATCCAGCTCCCTGCTTGTGGGCTAGGAAAGCAGTGGAGGATGGCCCAAAGCCTTGGGACCCTGCACCCATGTGGGAGACCTGGAAGAAGCTCCTGGCTTCACATCAGCTCAGCTCCAGATGTTGTGGCCACTTGGTGGGAGAGAACCAGCAGATGCAAGATCTTCCTGTCTTTACTCTCTCTAAATCTGCCTTTCCAATAAAAATAAATCTTTTTTTATAATAATAAATCTTGAAAAAAAACCTGCACATTTTTTGTAAATGTGGTGAATATTAGGCCTGACACATACAACAGCTTAACATCTAGAGCAATACTTAAACACATCAAACTTGTTTTAAAAATAAGTTAGAAAATAACAACTCACAAATCCCCTAGACAGGTCCTAGCATATGAAACCCACCCACTTTTTTTCCCCCTACTCTTCTCATCCTAAGCATATAGTACTGACATGAACAAAGTTCAGATTTTTATCAAAGCATTTAAAGAGGCTCATCTTTTTTGAGGGAAATTAATGCTGAGACATTTACAGAGGCAGCGATATGTCTGGAATCTGTTTCAAAAGAACCCAAGGTGGGGGTACTGGCGACATGAAGGTGGGCCAGGAACTTATCACAGCCCAATCTGGCTCTGTGCAATTCCTCTCTACTCTGAACTCTCCCTTGCGCCTAATGTTTCCCTATAAAGAAGAGTCAGCATGGCTCAGCGCCCACAATGACGGCTCAGCGCCCACAATGACGACCCCATCCTATGCACACATTCACGCTCAAGCCTATCAGCTCTCAGCTGGTGTGTGTGTGGGGGGGGGGGGGCGACTCCTGGCTCCATTTCCCTCATCATCCCTTAATCTGGTATCTTTCTGGCCAATGGGCAACCTCCAATATGGTTCTCACCGGGATGCTGCTAGCCTCGGAAGTGGGGTCAGTCTGTGGAATGCCTGCACCTCTGGCACTAAAGATGAGCACCCCCAACCCTACTACAACACACACACACTTCCCAAATGCCAGCCACTGTGTCCGATCACTTCTAGTCCAACTTCTAGCCCACATCAGTGGCTCTACCAAACCCTGGAACTAGCCCTACCCTACCAGAAGAATCTCTCTCCCAGTCACTCAGGATCGCCCATTTCAGCCCTACTACTACTTCCGGCTCCTCCTGTTAAAAAAAACTCTTCCCCTCATGGTTTCTCAAATCTCAGCACCCACTGCCCACTCCTAAGCAAAGCTCGAGCTTCGGTGCCTTTTTTTTTTTTTACACCCAAGGCCAGCGTGACACCTGAGCGGGCGGGGGGGGGGGGGGCGGGACCCCTCGATCACGCCCCCACATCCTACAGAGCTGCAGAAAATCCCAAGGCTGGCGCTGCCCTGTCCCCAGGAGGACACAGCGACAGCACCTGACCTCAAACACAGACACGCCTTTAACCCCACAGCTGTTCCTCCCCGCATCATCCCAACTCGAGTCCTGCTTCACCTGAGGGAATCCTAAGACCCCCAGACCCGGCTCTGGCCAGATGTCTAAAGGGGATGGAGGGATACCCCCAGATCCCAACCTCCCGGAGCAGACACCTTCGCGAAGCCCTTCCACCAGGACATTCCCGCACTCCCTCAGTTCCTGCACTCCATGGGCGTCGCCTGCCCGCCAAGAGGAGAGCTTGGAAGCAAAGGGTGTCTTGTGCGGGACGGGCGCGTCTTTCTAGTCAGCGGACCCGGCCGCGAACCTTCTTTCGCGAAGGGAGCGCCCCAACAAAAAAACAAAACAAAACAAAAAACACGCCCGCCCGCCTCAACACCTGCTGCAGGCTCAGGAACCCAGCGCCGTGAGAGGAAAAAAAAAAAAACCTCAGCGCCGGGCGCCCCCCACACCCTCAACTTTTTTCACCTCATGCGACACAGAAACACACACACACACACACAAAAGTGGGGTGGGGAGGGATAGCTGAGGCTGAACGGGCGGAAATCTGAGGCGAGCAAGAGTCGGGAGAACTTCAGGGCCCTTCCCCTCCCCGGTCTGGGCTGGAGCGCCCGGGCGGGCTGGCGGCCATGGCGCCTGGCGAGGGCTCCGGCCGCCGCGCGCTCCCTTACCCGCCCGGGCGCGCCGACGGGGGCCGCCAGGGGCCAAGCGCCGTCAGAGCCCGCGCCGCACGCGCTCGGGCCGCCGCCGCCACCGAGCCGGGGAGCCCCGGGAACCGGGTGCCGGGGAGCCCCGGGGACGGGGTGTCGGGGAGCCCCGGGACGGGGTGTCGGAGCCCCGGGATGGGGTGTCGGGAGCCCCCGGGGACGGGGTGCCGGGGAGCCCCCGGGGACGGGGTGTCTGGAGCCCCGGGGACGGAGTGTCGGGGAGCCCCGGGACGGGGTGTCGGAGCCCCGGGGACGGGGTGTCGGAGCCCCCGGGGACGCGGTGTCGGGGAGCCTTTGTCCGAGGTCCCGGGGCACCCCTGTGCGCCCTTGGCCGGCCCCGCGCGGCCGCCTCACCGTGATGTTGCAGTGCAACGTGAGCAGCGGCGGCGAGTGCGGGCTGCCCGGCGGCGGCGGCACCAAGAACTGGCAGTGCAGCTCGTCTAGCTTCCAGCTGACGATGCGGAATCGTTCGTGGTTCTTGTCGAAGATGGACGCCAGGAACTTCAACTCGGCCTTGAGCCCTGACACGGACATCTTCCCTTCATCTCCGGCGGGAGGAGGGATAGGGAAGGAAGGGGAGCCGAGCCGGGAGCCGCCGTCACGGCCGCGACCGCCCCGCGCGGGGCCGGCCCGGGCAGTGCTCTCCGGGCTCCGCCTCTCCCCGCCGCCCCGGCCGCGACCCGCGACGTCCGAGCGCGGCTGGAAAATGGCGAGGGGGCGCTGAGGCCTGGGCCCGCAGCTGTGTGGGAACCGGGGCGGCTGCGGCTGCAAACTGCTTGCTGCGGCGGATGCTGCTTGCCGCCTTTGTAACCCACTCCACCGGCAGGAGGCGGCGGCCCCGCTTAAAAGGGCAACCCAACGACACCGCCCCACTGCGCTACCGCCTGGCCCTGGGCGCCCCCCAACCCCGCCCTGTCTCCCCTCCTTTCCCCGTTCCCGGCGCGTGCATGCGGCCACCCTCCGCCCCGCCATGACCCAGACCTCTTCTGCACGACCCCGTTGTGGGGTAGGCAGCTAGTTCAGGGTCACAAGCTTGGAAGCCACTCCACGCCACCACCACCTATGGTCCCTTCGGCCCACCTGTGACACACACCTATCATCACCTGGAAGCTGAGAGGGGTTGGTATTGTATTGTTGCCTAACACTCCCCTGGCAAGCCCCCCGTAAAGGTCCGTGATAGGGATGGGGGGCTAGCTTTCTTGGTCACATCCTTCAATCACTCCCGCAAACTGCAGGTGGAGGACAGCCTACTCCTGGACCCTCAATACCAGGAGGAGCCGGAAACCCTCGTGTGTCCCCCCCCACCCCCAGGCCCCGGACCAGCCATGTGCACAGCTGACCACGTTGGCATCTAGACAGATATGCGCCGGGGCCCTAAGGGTGGCTGCTCCTGAGCCCTTGGAGGCCGCCCGCTCACCTGCCTCCCTCGAGTGGGCCTCCTGGTTTTGACGCCACAACTCTTAACCTTAGTGCGAGCTGCCGCTTCGCCAGGCTGGGTCCCCGGCAGACCCCCTCACAAGAGCCTGTGGGTCCCTCCCACCTGCCGTCCCCTCACCGCCACTGCCCTTACCCTCTTGGTCAGGTTTGGGATCACCCTCTCCCTGTGTGCTTTCCACACTAGTGAAGCTGGTCCCTTATTTTCAAGAAAGGTCTTAGTGTAAATGCGGGGGGAGGCTGAAATAACTTCGTGGGCACACTGATATTACATCTTGCGCTAGCTTTTTGCTCAGCCCTTTCATTATCTTGGTGTTTTTCCTCGTTATCAGTAAGTTCTCACCCAGTGGGAATATCTTATTAAAAGAGCCTTGCCCCCAAGACCTGTTAATGTAGTTTTGGAAGTTAGCCCTTATCTAGAGTCCTTGGTGCTTTGACCCTATCCCTGGCACATGCAAAGTGGCCCAAAAATGAAGGACTGCCTGGTGACCCAAAGGAACACAACCTAATTGGGCAGTTAGTATGCATGAAAAGACTTATTGGAGACAGCTTCCAATCTGTGTAGTTGCATAGGGCTCCTAACATAGAAGGGCTGTTTCTGCTGTTACCATCTTAAAATTCTGAATTTTTCAGTGCCACGCCACCCCCCGCATTTGCCTTTTACACTGTCTTTGCTATAGAGTTGTTTCACTGATGTCCCCTGCTTCCTAATTCACAAGATGCTCCTGGCGTACTGGCCTTCCCAATGACAAAATACAGGGGGACATAAAGTCCATGGATTGCAGGCTATTTTTGCTTTAGTTTTCTTTGTTCCTGAGGCATTACACCGGGCGACCATGCATTCTCAGGAGGGCACCGACCCCTTGGAGAAGCTGATAAAACCTATGAAGCTACCTGTGTGGGAGAATGCCTCCACACATAACGTCTTGTACTTCCGGGGCTTCATTGCCCCGGCACTGTAAGTCCAACTCTCCAATGGGACAAGGAAAAGGAAGGAATTAGAGCCCCTGGCCTCTAAGCAAGAATCAGAATCCCATATGGATATGGCTGCTATTTATTTTTTCCCTCCAGTCCCCAAGGGCTCCCAGGACCCTCACAGCCATAGCAGCCACAGACAAGGATTGGAGACAAAGGAAAATACGAAATAAATGCAAAGTCACACCTGCAAGTTATTAATTCTATCCATGCTTTTTTTGTTAGCACTAAATTGCTATAAGCGCCTAAAGACTTTTCTAACTAGCAACAGCTTTTGCAAGTTAAACCTCAGAAATGTATATGATAACACTAGTTGTTTGCCAGTCCCTGAGCTAGAAAGATAAACAGATGTAATTCCTGAATCCAAAAGCCGAACTGTTGAATGTCAAAAGCAAAACGCTGGGGCAGGTGCTTGGCCATGTGGCTTTTGTTTGAAAGGCAGGTTTACAGACAGGAGGAGAGACAATGAGACAGATCTTCCATCCACTGGGTCACTCCCCAAATGACCACAACAACCAGAGCTGCTGGTCTGGCCTGAAGCCGGGAGCAAGGAGCTTCTGTTGAAACATTCACAGCCCATGTGAGAGTAGTCGAGTTTGATTCCTGACTCTGTGGCAGATTCCAGCTAACAGGCAGACCCTGGGATACAGTGAGTACTTAGGTTCCTGGATTGAGATCCCAGGGAAACCTGGATTGAGTTCCAGGTTCCTGACCTGAGTCAGGTCTAGCCCCTGCTGTTGTAGGCATTTAGGGGCAATGAACCAACTGATGGGAGCATTTGCATTCTCTGCTTCCCAAAGGGATAAAAGAAACGCCATTCCTGGTGTGTAAGGCTTGAGATAAAAGAAAACTGAAATAAATGGTTTGGGCAACAAGGAATGTGTGACTTCAGCTGACAGGAAGCCCAGAGCAGAGTCTAAGATGGGCTGATTTGAGACTTATTGCTATCACGAGGGGCCCAGATTCTTTCCCTCGTCAGCCAAGAACAAAATGTGTCTGTTCTTGCAGGTCCTATCCAGACACAACAATATCCAGAGGCAGAGGGGACATAACCTTCCTTGTCTCCTCCCAAGACATGGGAACCCTCCCAAGAATCTTCCCAGCCGACTTGCCTTTTGTGTATCATTGGCCAGAATCGGGTCACATGCCCACTCCTGAGCCAATCACAGGTACATGGATGGAATCTGTGATCAGATTTCCAGTCACTGGGAAGGAGTAGAGGCTGAGGAATCACCAACATGCCTAAAACAGACACAGAGACAACAGATCTTAGGTGATAAGATAGCCAAACCACTGTACCACTGCAGCTCAGGAGACAAAGAAATGAATTCCAGAAATGTCTTCCATGAAGTGGGGCCGTGATCACGGGCTGTCTGAGAGTCCAGATGACAACACAGCACAGCAAGGGGCTGGCAGAACAAGCTGAGGTGTTTGTGACCAGATTTTCGGGAACCCTGATATATCATGCCAGGGACTGTCCCTTCGTTCTGCAAAAGTCATCACTTGAAGGAAAAGCAGTCTGCCTTAGGGTAATACAGGTATAATGATCTACAAGTGTCGAGTAACCAGAAAACTCAGATTCTGCTCCTGGCTTGGCATTAATTCAGTGGGGCAAGTGGCACCCAGCTTGGAGCTTCTCCAGTTCCAAAGACAAAAATCCCGCTGGGTCAGTCTAAGAACAATAGTAAGAAAAATTGAAGTTGAGGATGTGGGGATAGGAATAGAAGAGTCCACAGCTTCTAGGTGGTGGAGATGATGAGCGAAATGAAGGGAGAGGTTTTTTGATTTTTTGGGTTTTTTTTTGTTTGTTTGTTTTGTTTTTAAATTTTTATTGAAAAGATTTACAGAGAGAGGAGGAGGAGAGAGCGATCTTTGGTCGACTAGTTTGCTTCCCACATGGCCGCAGCTGCCTGAGATAGGCCAGTTCAAAGCCAGGAACCCGGAACTTCAGGACCCAAGGCGCCTGGCATCAGTCTCCCATGGGGATGCAGGGGCCCAAAGACTTAGGCCATCTTTAGCTGCCTTCCCAGGTGCATTAGTAGGGAGACAGGTTGGAAGTGCAGCAGCCATGACTCAGAGCAACCCCGTGCATGGGCTGCAGCGCCAACCCTGGAAATAGAAGAGAGAGGCTCCAAGGTGTGGAGCTGAGAAGCAGAGGGGAAGCTGGGATGAAGAGTTGGCTAAGGAAAGGGGTCCCTCTGCTCTACTCCATAGAGGAGGGCAGGGGAAAAAAATTGGGGGAGGATACATGAAATGCTGCATTGGAGTATTGTTGAAGGACTTCATACTGAATAAACTTGATTTATTGGGAGCCAGTGAGACAGAATCCGGAGAACCAGGCTGCAGCCTGTGAGCACAGAGTCTCAGCTAGAAGTGCGTGGATCAAGGGGGTGGGGATGGCTCCAGAGCACATGAAAGAATGAGAGACGACAGTCACAACCTCCTGTGTGGGAGGAGGTGGAAGTGTTACCACGAAGGTGGCACGTCCCTCACAATCCTGTGCTCAAACACCACCTCGTTTCCTGAATCTTTCCCTAGTCCCCCATCCTGAATTCAATCTCTTCTTTTCCTGAATCTTTCGGTACCTTCCAGCAGGTATAAGAGTCTCATTCTGCCTGGCTTTGTATTCATCTCCTCTGCCAGTGTATACAGTTCTTGACTTAATCCCCCTTTGTCACAGTGACATACAGCCCCATCCCTGGGATTTTAAAAAGCATCGAATAAGTGAGCAATTAAGTGAATGGTCTCCTGGAAATGAAAGGCACGTGGCATTCTTAGTTAAGAGCAATGCTAAGTCTCAGGAAATGGGAGGGACTCCTCCTGTGTGTGGTGAGCTTACATCAGCACGTGGCCACATAGGTCCAGTCAACCCAGCAGGTGCAGGAAGCTGAGCCCAACCCTGCTGAAATGAACTGCAGCCAGCACAGTCAGAAAATTTTCTAAACTAAATTTTGCACAAGTCTGGGCTTTGGTTTATACTAAAGTTCCACTTGGGATTTTTGAGTATGTTCACTCTGACCATTTCTCTATTGCATATACTACAAGGACCTTGAAATGGCCTGAATTTGAAGTAGCTATGCTTAGGAACGCTATTCTAGGAAGGCCATCTCAGGCAACGCTGTCCTGCAGAACCTTCTGTAATAATGGACAATATGTGGTAGCTGCCAGCACCATGTGACATTGAGCACTCCCAAAGTGAATGGTGTGGCTTAGGCACTGAATTTTATTTCATTTTAATCATTCAAATTTAAGTAGCCACGTGTGGCGGGTGGGTACCACATTGGAGAGCACAGCACCAAATAGTTCTATAAGCTCACATATC